TTCAGGAAGAAATCAAACTGTTTTTACCAGAAGACAGACATGGCATAAGAAAAATCAATAAACAAACCTTCACATATAGCTATTTATGACTCTGCTAAAGAAACTCATTCTCTGGAAAATCATGTGAAGTAACCAGATAGCTTGCAGGTTCAGGAGCTCTCATTACCTCATAGTCACAACGGTTATTTTTACGTATCTGTAAATAACTAAAGGAGCTGACATGAACTGACAATGAGCTTTCAGTTGATATGTGATGCATCCAGATCAGTTCAAGAGGGCAAAACCAGATTTCCAATAGACACTTGGATAAACAAAAGATAACACTAGCCTGATAAAGCTTTTCTTTTGCTATAGTTCTGAGCTGATGGTTGATGTTTTCAGGTATATTAGTACAAATATAAAAACAGTACTGAAAACAGAGTGGAAGCTTATGAGGTTAGAGTATGCCAAGCTTAACTTGTTACAAGGGAAATAAATTTCTTCAAAATTGTTTTTCGATTAAAAAATACAAATTGTTGCCTTCTCCCCCTCCATATAGCACGAGAAGGCAAGATGACCTTATTTGTGCCTCTTGATTATCTTGGAGGTATATTTTTTGCATGTTTAAGCTGTTTTGCATTGTATGAAGGAGTGTACAATTCCTTTAAGAGACTAAGCCTAATCAAGTTGGCCCTGCCTAGGCGTTATACAAATTCCTTTAAGAGACTAAGCCTAATCAAGATGGCCCTGCCTAGGCGTTATACAAACAGGAAGAGGAAGCTGATTTAGAGAGGGGATAGCAGAACCTTTGCAGGTTGCAATGGTTGTTTGCTCTAGGAGACTAGCCTAACCAAAGGCTTTCTTTTGTGGACTTTACGTTGGCAGCTGAACCAGGGTTCCAAGGTGAGGACCTTATGAATTATTTACTGTAGTGACTCCTTTCCTAAATTATTACTGAAAGAGGCCACACTATTTTGTTAGTGTGTATTGGCTTCTTTCCGCTAGGCTGTTGACATGAACCTACTGCCCAAAATGAGAAATTAAGTTGGGTATATCTGCGACATAACACTGGGCCAAAAAATACATGTCTAGCGATATCCCTCACCTTTACACGTTGTTTAAAAGCACATATTTTGAGAATTAGTGCACATAAAAAGTACCATACTGAGATCCCTGGAGATTTAAGGCCTTTCAGGCATAGAATAAGTACTACAAGGGCAGCAGTGCAAGTATGTTGCCCTAATGTACATAAAACCTGAACTTGGAGGGACTTCTGAGAGGGATACAGGACCATTCAAGAAGGCCAAATATGTGGTTGTGTATTGCAGGCACACATGTATGGGCATCTTATCCATTGCACATAAACCACCAGTCCAGTGATAACATTTGGTAACAATTACTAACTTAGCTGGATTTAAGGTTGGGATTTTAGCCTAATTTAGATTAGCCTTTCAAACGAATTCAGTGTGATCTTTTAGGAATGGGGGTTAAGATCAGAATGAATAAGTTTGTTTTAATAGGCGAACTACCATGTGCTTTTTTCCTTCTCCTGGAAGCAGAAGACTCAACCTTATGAAAAAGTGGTATTCTTACTTCATTTCCAACATAGCAAAACAAGGGGTTACTGAAATTTTCACAAAATAGGCATTTCTTGTAAGATTTCCAGATCACATAAGTCTGGATAAGTATCTGAGCCAAACTCTTCCCCTTTGTACCTGCCCTAACAGAAGTGTCCATGAAATTGATTAGAATCATTATTTCTGAAGTGTGCTGTACTGGCAATTCAAACAGGATTCTAGTCAATTTCATTGCCATTCTGCTGAAAATTGAACTTACTGTGAAGTGACTAAAATTCAAAATGACGATCAAGGTGTACATCCTGGGCACAACTTTAGGTGAATCACACACTAGTGTTGTGTGAACAGAATCCTCTATTTTAGAATGCATAATCTTTGCGATACATAATTGGGCATTCAGGTTAATAAAAATAATAAATGTGCAGTTTGTTTTCCTTTTTTAAGTGTCTTTACATTCTCTTGAGTTAACTCTCTAGAGAAGTGGTTTCCAACTTTTTTTTAATACTGCGGACCAGCAAACCCATTTGCAAACTTTTGGAAGACCATCAACATTTTATTTGAATATTTATCGTGTAAATAATTAGTATGCAAATAAAAAGTTGCCTGCTGACTCTGTCTTGTCACTGCACATCCCTCTACCTCCAACCCCAGAACTCTCTGACCCCATCCAGCCAACCCTGGTACTCTGTGTCTCTGTATTATTAAACTTGCCAAACTCATCATCCGATATCCCCTATATCCCACTAACCCCATTACCGCACAAATCTGTCTTGCCAGGCCTGTCACCCCAGTGCCCACCGTCTCCAGCTTCCTACCACTCCCTGCTGCCAACTTCCTTTTATCAACCACCTCTGTCTTGCCTGGAGAATGTCCTGCATCCCCTGTCACTATCAACCTTGGCTCGCTGTGTCCTAGTGACTCCTGACTTAAACTGACCATCTCCCATTTCCCCAGATCCTGCCCCACCACTCCCAGTGCTCCCTACCCCTGCCCCACTACCTCCACTTCCCCTTGCTCTGCAAACTCCATGACTGCCTGTTGTGCCAAACCCCGATCCTGCCCCACTGACCCTGCAACTGTCTATTCCTTAAGCTCTGAGGCCCCTAACCCTGCTCAGACGCCCTCAGATCTGCTGCCCTGACACACAACCACTGGCTCCGTAACCACTGGCCCACTGCAACCAACCCCCCTCCTACCCTTTGATCTCTATCCCCTGCCCTCCCTCAGCCCCAGCCCTTCCCCCTTAACCCCGAGCCCCAATTCAGCCCCTTGCTCCTCAGTGTCTAACACCCTTTAACCTCCATCGCAATGCCCCATACCTTTTGACCCTTTATCCACTGACCTCTACATCCCATGCCAACACTCTCTTGCCCGGTGACCCCATCACACCGTCACTCAACACCCCTTTGCCCTCTGATCACACCCCACCCCCACGTCCCCCCAGAGCAAGGCTGCCCCCTCTAGTGAGCAGGGCCATTACTGCTGCAGGGGATGTGGCCATTGGCAGCAAACATACTTCCTCCTCCTTCGCGCCCTCTTCCTCAAGCTCATCGCACACCACCATGGCTAAAGGCAGGGGAGAGCGCAGAGCCCTAGCCAGGCTGTCATCTTACCTGGGTGGGAGGGTGAAGGGGGGGATGAGGGAGGGAGGTGCCTCCTGCTCTGCCTCCTCCTGTAACCGCCTCAGCCGCAGCACTGCCGCTGGGCAAAATCAGCAGGAGCCACCGCAAACTGATGGCTTCAGCTACTGCAGCCACCACAGCCCGGCAGCCAGCGGTTTGCAGCTTGGCAACGATCCGTGGACCAGCAGTTAGGAACCACTGTACTAGAGTAACTCCTTTGGATTTCAGAGTCTCAGAACACACTGATACACCTTTAATTCATGCTAAAATTCTTTAAAAACAAAGCTACTTAAAAGCAGTCTGTGTCTTCTGCTACCACAAGAGGATAGAATAAACTATATTTATTCCTATATAATTCCCCTGACTGCACTGGTGGAATGGAGCCCAATATATTAAAATTCTGTGGTATACGTTATGGCTTTAAACTAAACACATTACTTCTTATTAATTTTTTCACATCTAAGCATGTTGTAGATTTTTACAGCATCAGTCACCCACTCTAAAAGCATAATGAAGTGTTTTGAGAATGAGAAAAATCTTATTCTGAAATTAAATCAGCCTTTTTTTTTAAAATACCACTGAGGCACTAGATCATTTCAATATAATCATAATATTGCTTAAATGAAAAAAAAAACCCTACTGTTTGAAAATCATTTGTTCAGTTTTTAAAATTTTACCCTCATGCAAATACTTACTGTCTGAGAAAGTGATATATTTAAAAATAATTGGAAATTCATGTTGAAAGTAAACTTATATGCACTGTGCATCATTCCTCTTATCCTACAATGATGTATATCTGCTATTATGACTAAGCTTTTGTTTCTCAGATAAAATTCTGGTAACTTCAGCAGTGGGGGAGTTAAAATCAGTGCAAGAGAGAAAGATTTGATGGTGTGCCAATGTACAATGGAAGGGAATTCAATAAGCTGCAGAGACAGTGGGCTTTTATCAGACACATTGAAAAGTGGTGGAGGCTACATGTCGATGCTGGACCAGAGTGTATTACTGCAGAGAGTGCCAGAGTGTTTTCCCCACGGGCAATACACTATTATTGACTCCCCCCATTACCATGTAGGGTGGATATACATTTATTGAAGTTTCTAATGGAAGGCTGAGGGACTCCTATCCTGAGGCCAGAACAAAAAGACAGCCTATCACTTCATGTAATGGTAGCCCATGTGTGACAGACCTGACCTACATTTCCCCCTTTTCTTTCTCACAACAGCCTGTCGCTGTTTTAAGAAGCTATTTTCTGAGATGTATAAAAAGAAATGCTGTGTTGGAGCTGCCTAGTTAATGTGTTTTACTGGAATATTATTTATAAACCTGTTTCATAAACAGTAACTGTACTAGAGATGAATTATGAAAGCTATCCTAAAAAGCACACACCCAAAAAAGAATGTGCCTTAATTTTGATGTGTTTATAAAGCCATATGTTAAATCGTATCTTAGACATAACTCAGTATTCATATCTACAAAATGCAGTACTGGCCATTACTTGAAGTAGTTACGAAAACTTACTGAACCTATTGTAATGATAAAAAGAATACCTAAACTATATAATGAGAATCTAAATTTCACATTTATTAAAATCTGTAGAAGTACCACTACCTCATGCCTTACTGGAAGTAATTCTATGTTTTTACTGGTCAATGTATATGAATTTATCAATAACATATCCAAATATGAAAGTAGAACATGGGCAAATAAAACATTTGGTTCAGAAACAGTTTTCATTGAAAAATACTATTAAACTACTATTCCAACCCCTGCATGAAAGAGCTGCTGCCTCTACAGCCAGCACTCCTCGACAGGAACCTACCACGGCGCTGTAGGTCATATTCTTTTTTTGTCTCTTCGTTCCCTAGAATTTTCCACGCTTGATCAATTTCGATGAACCTCTGCACACGCTCCTCCACTTCTCCTGCTGGCACATCTGCGCTCTGTTTGTCTGGATGATACTGCCAATCAAAAGAAAGGGGGGGGATGAGATAAAAGAGGGGGAAATCGATAGTAAATCTGATATTAATTTAAAAGTGGGAGGAGAGGGGGAGGAAGAGGTGGTCTGAACTAAAGAAAACGAGATGACAATGTTGGGTACAGGAGATAACTGCCAGGTTAATTAGACCACTGAAATAGCAGCAAATCCACCAGTGGCACAAAATGTCACAATGTACACTGACAACATTTTCTGGATAATTTGCTAATGGAATCATTGGTCTTATGGACAATTTACCTAGAGAGAATGAGTAATGCAAACAGAAAGAGGTACATGCAGAGGAATACGACATGGGAACACGGGGAAATGCTTTAGGTGCAAGCCGTTTTTCTTTAACACTACATCTGGCTACATTTAAAAAACAGGGCCACTGTTTAGTTTCAATCTAATCATAAATAAACTGAATGCTTTATTAAATATGTACCTGTTTTTTGTATTTTAAATAGTAAAAAAAATATGTAAGATCAAATATAATTTACAATAAATGAAATTCTATTTTGAAGCTATGCCTCAACATCTTTAATTTTTTCCAGTTCAGTGAATCAATAGCTTTTCCAAATATTTAATGTCATGGATCACTGGCTACAAAATTGTGTCATTTTAGTTAAATGGTTATTTGAGGACAAGGCTATAAGATAAATCATGTACAAAGGCAAAAAAATAAAATAAAAACACTTTAAAAAATGTCTGTTCTCCCCACGTTAAACAGCACATTCTCCTTTTTTGTTTTGTTTCAATGTCTATTGAAAAATAGCTCCATGATGTCTTCTTCTTGCTCATTGTATAAATTCTTATCTCATTTCTAAGGAATTTTTTAATATATATTTTAATTGTTCATATTGGATCAACAGAAGAAAATCATCAACAGGAAAGAATTGTTAGGCTAATGGCAGGGGAATGGGCAAGTTTAAAACACTGTAAGAATGCTGTTAGTTTATTATATTTCAAAATATTCCACATTTACTTATTTTCCTCATAGTAGGAATATTAATTTCTGCCCTACACTAATAAGAGTTTGGTTACCTCAATCTGCCATAGATATTTAGACTCTGAGGGCCTGTACCACAAGTGAGCGCTGACAGAGAGTGGAATTCTGAACAAATATTTCCAATTATACAGCAAAAGCTTTGTTACCTGGCACTCATGGGGGGGAATTCAGGGTTCCCGATTAATTGAATGTGCCAGATAATAAAGCTTATTGCACTGTCTCCTTCCACTACCAGCAGATGTGGCACTTGGCAGCTTGAAACAGACTGAGAGGAAAGGAGATGCCTGCTGATGACATCAGTGCTGGCTGTCAGAAGCCCCACAATGACCTGTTGGACAGGAAGGAGTCAAGTGTGCACTCCTGAAGACGTGTTGGTATTGTGGCTGGGGGCAAGGCTGGTTAACAGAGTTCTCCAGTTAACTGAGTACGGATAACAAAGCTTTCACTGTAGTTTGTTTTGGAACAAGAATATGCTGTTATGTCAACTTCAAATGATTGTTTCTCTCCTTTTCTTTCACCTGAAAAAGTGGGCTGTGCCCACCAAAGCTCATGATACCATCTACATTTTTTGTTAGTCTCTAAGGTGCTGCAGAACTATTTGCTGTTTTTAAGTTTATTCGGTTACAGACTAACACGGCCACCCCTCACACTCTCCTTCACAGACAGTCATATGCTAAGAATTCAAAATGAACATTGCTGCTAGAGTCTGCTCACTAATATGGATCTCTATCATTTGCATTATTGGGAATAATCTTGATAATGTCCATCCTCCACACCCTCCAATGTAACAATGGGAGAAAAGACCACAAGTGCAAAACGTTCCCCTAGCTCAACTATTTTCAAATCCATTTTTCAACACACAACTGATTGTGCCTGCAGAAGTGTTTGTTCACCCAAATGATAAACTCAAAAAGCTAGTTTTTTATGTATGGAACGCATGCATTCCTTTGCAGTTAGCTGTACATTCAAAACCAGAGGCTAGTTGAGACTTGCAGAAAATATAGCCTAGGCCCGTGGTCACCAACCAGTAGATCGCGAGCTACCGGTAGATCTCAGGGGCTCTAAGAGTAGCTCTTGAGCCCTCTCTGAACTGCGCACCTGCGCAGTACATTTACATAAGATTTCCTCATGTAATGTAGGCGGGGCTTCAAGGAAGGGGCGGGGCAGTAGATCTTCGCCTGTTCTGAGACTTAAAAAGTGATCTTGGGTGTAAAAAGGTTGGAGACCACTGGCCTAGGCATAGTTGTAGTTCATACATGATCTTGTAGAATGTGTATTTTCAGTAAAAATTAGAAATAGAAAAAGTTTATGCTATATTTCTTTTTGGAAAATTTTCAAAGTTAGACATACAAATTGGAAGATTTCCCTCTCCCTCCCCCATAACATATATGAACAAATACAATCTTAAACATGAATGCTGCTACATAAATCAACAAGGGACAGTTATTACATTTCATGTTTAAACCAGGAGATGATGGGAGAAGGTTTAAACCATTGCATGATACAACGCATATCATTGTAATTTATTAGTCTTTGTCTTTACTCAGATTATCTATGAATCTTTGCCCATGTTCAATTGTGTTTCAGCTTTAATAATATTTGTTCAAGATAGTAGCTAATCATGTGCATTGTCCTACTGATCTTTTAATTGAAATGGTCACATTATATACATATTAATGGTTGATAAATATTAAAGTAGTTAAATTACATAGTGGACTAATGTAGATTGCTATATTTTTGCATCATATCTGCCTGAGTTATGCATTCAAAAATTACTGAAAATCATTTTTTTTAAATGGTAAACATATCAGATTGGTCAGCAAGCTCTTTGAGATAGATCTTATTCTTATGTTTAGTGCCATGTCAATTTTAAAACAGTATAAATGTATTTCTACATAGAGATTTTCTATTCCAAGTTTCAATCCCAAGGGAACCATTTTAAAGATTTATTTATACATCTCTAAGGAAAGAGAGACACATAAATAACAACAACTTTCATAAGTGAAATACCTTATTAGCCTTTTACTACTTCAGGAATAAGTATGTGCTTCTGTAATACATTTTCTATCACACTTATACTTAAATGAATGGAACATTTGGAAGTACTAGATGGGTCCAGCCTTATGCAAGGAGCATACACACATCTAATACATGACTCAGTACAATGACATTTAAACAGTGATATGAATTCATGGCATCAGTTCATGAAAACATATAGGACAAAAGCTTTCAACACAATTCATTAAAAAACCTGTTGCCCAGAATAGCCTACCTTTTTATTGGCCAAGAGGCCGGCCTTAACTGTGTACTGAAGACCAAGTGGGCAGCTCCTGATTTCTGAGAGGAAGCAAACCAGTCATTAGTAACTGATTGCTCACAACAATGCTAAGAAAATTGGCTTCTCTCCTGCTGAGAATATTGAAGACTCAAACAAAAACTGGTTCCTCTACTACTCCTTCACAGTGAAATCATGGCTGATAGAAAATAAATGTGCAGTTTTTGACGAGTGCATCAACCAATGAACGGGAGAAAACAATTTATTGAGGAAGTAAACAGATCATCCTTTCAACCACATCCAACTGGCCTAAAAATAATGCTGACAGTGTTAGAAATAGATATTACACAAAAATAAAGCCACAACGAAAAGAAAATGATTCACAAGAGCAGTAGTGGTGTCAGAACAGGATATTTGGGTAATTTTTTGCTGGATAATCAACACAATTCTAAGATTTTTTTAACTTGTCACTATCTGATTAGGGATAATAAAATTATCCTTTATTGATTAAAAAGAAACCTTAATCTCGACAAACATACATCTGCTACAATGTAGATTTAGATAACTTAATACATGCTATTTGTATGGTTTATATAATCACACACAAAGTCACCATCACCTGAATGTGTTACTGCCACACAGGCAGAACTACCTTCAGTTTTCTAATATTTCTGTAAAAAGAGATGTTTCTTTTGTGGGGCAATAAGATATTGTGACACAGAGATTCCTTAGCAAACGACCTCCTGTTCTTTGCAAACAATGCTCACCTCAGATCTAACAAATTCATTATACCAAACATCTTGAAAAATGGGAACAAGGTTCCTTTGACAAACTAAACACGGAGAAGGGAAAACTTTATTAAACAGGAAAGGTAACTTTTAGTAAGTGTAGACCTAGGCTCACTTTTTATAAAAAAAAATAAGGCACGGGCAACATTATCTCCTGTAAATATAAACCAACTTATTTCTCTCTGTAATTGTCCAAAGAAGAAGTAGGACCGAGTGGACTTGTAGGCAATAAAGTTTTACATTGTTTTGGTTTTTAATGCAGCTATATAAAAAACAAATCCACAGTTGTAAACTGCCCTTTCACAATAAAGAGATTGCACTACAGTATTTGTATGAGAATTGAAAAATGCTGTCTCATTTTTTTTACAGTGCAAATAATTGTGATATAAAAAATAAAGAGAGCACTGCATATTTTGTATTCCTTGTTGTCAATGAAATAAATATATCAGAAAACATCCAAAATATTTCATACATTTAAATTGGTATTCCATTGTTAACTAGTGCAATTAAAACTGTGATTAAATCACAGTTATTTTTGTTATTTGTCATCTGAAGAAGTGGATTATGCCCACGAAAGTTAATGACCCTATTTATATATTTTTGTTAGGCTCTAAGTTGCCACAGGATTATTGTTAAGATTGTTGAGTTACAGAATAACATGGCTATCTCTCAGCGTTATTTCTGAGTAAAACGCATGAGTTAACGGTGATAGCACTGATTTTTTCTATTCTTTTATTGAATAGTTTCTTCTCAGAATTCAAAATTTAAAAAAAAATTAGGGTGACCATCATTTCGTACAATTTCTTTGCTTTGTACTTTTCTAAAATATTTTAGCTATCAAGATATCCTTGAAATTTATAATATTCTGATCAAAATATAGCAATTCTTATATCCTCAAATATTAAGTGGGA